GTTAAATCGCCGCAGCACGCTGCCTCTGAGTCAGGGTGTCATGCGTGGCAAAGCAGCTACCTCGCTGTGAACTGTTGAAAAGCCAGCCCTTGACACAAGCAGCCGCCTCTCACCAACAAAATGGGGCTGAGGATGATAATATCTACCTCACAGGGCTGCGGAGAGAAGCTAGTGGAACTGCGTGCGCAGAAGGGTTTGGGGACGGCACGCAGCCTGCCCAGTGCGGTGGCATTGCCACTCCCGAAACAAGACAGGGAGTGGGCCCAAGAGCAGGGCAAGGAGAGGCACTGGCCTCACCTCTGGGAGCTGGGAGTGGCACCGGAGGCTGATGGGACCACAGTGGCCCATGCAGGCAGGGACTGTTCTGAGCCTGTCCCTGTCCTTGGCAGTGTAATTGGTCCTCAATAGATGTGTAATGGACGCACACCTGTGAGTGAGCAGAGACTGAAATCAGCCCAGTTCGCCCCAACCTCTACTCCCCACCACTGAGATCAGGGGTTCTTAAGCTGAGGTCCGTGAATCCCCTCCAAAATGTATGCAGAATACAGTGTGTGTTTGAAAATGTGTCTCCCTGAGTAAAGAAGTGTTAGTTCTGCCCAGAAAAACTTTTTTTTTTTTTTATCCTCACCCGAGGACATTTTTGGATATTTTGTTCAGATAGAGTGGGAGGGAAAGAGAGAGAGAAATATCGACGTGAAAGGGACACATCTAGTGGTTGCCACCCACATGACCCAACGGACAAACTGCAACCGAGGTACATGCCCTTAGCGGGAACCGAACCCGGGTCTCTCCAGACCGCAGGCCAAAGCTCTAACCACTGAGCCAAACTGGCCAGGGCCAGAAAAACTTTTAAATAAACCCTGCTCTGAAAGGTGGGCATCGACCGACTCTCAGTGAGTACCCACCAGTTGGATTCATTTGGCTCCCAGGACTGCCAGATACCCTGTGGATTTTTTTTAAAAAAACAGCTTCCTCCTTTCTCTCTGAAATATGCATACAGGGCCCCACCAGCCTGCAGTTTTTCTTTCTTGCAAGTTAGTTAACCTGCCATCTTTCGTATGCAAAAGTAGTGATCATACACCATCAGGGTCCTGTCTCCTGAGTGGCTGTTCAATGGCTGGGTAGGTCTCAGCTAGCTATACACACTCTCAATCTCTGATGTCCTACTAAGTGCATTTATTTTTACTTTTTATTTTTGAGATTTTTTTTTTTAATTTAAGTATAGTTGGTATACAATCTTATATTGGTTATATTAGTTTCTGGTGTATGATATAGTGATTCAACATTTTTGTACCTTTCAATGTGATGACTCTACTTAATCTAGTAATTATCTGTCATCGTGCAAACTTATTTCAATACTACTGACTATATTCCCCTTCCCCTTTTCACCCATCCCCCCATCCCCTCCCTTCTGGTAGCCATTCCTTGGGTCTGTGTTTCTGTCCATTTAGATGTGACAGGTGGGAGGTGGGAGTCAGGGCCCAGAACCTAGGGATATTAACTAGGCCTCATGGTATCTAAACTCAGAACAGTGATCTCTTTTTTAAAATATTGTTTCTCACTAAAAATAAATATGTGTGTGTGTGTGTGTGTGTGTATACATACACACATATGTATATACTCATAAACATATATATTTTTATATGTATGTATGTGTTTATTGGAGGAAATCTAGAATATATAAGCAATGAAAACAATCACCTGTAATTTCACCTTTCTCCAGAGAACTATCATTAATGCCTGGCTTCTGTTCTTCCCAGTACCCGAGTACATTTATGGGGCACTCACTGTGTGCCGGGCATTCGCTGTGCTGCACGCTCTGCAAGCCGTCTGGGGTTAGCCGCTTGTCTTACATCAGGTGTCCTCCACCTTTTCACATGCGCATTTATGCTTTTGTAATTTTTAAGGCCAAGGGGCTCATGCTGTTTTGTAACCTTGCCTTTCTCACTCCATAGCATTGGAATTTCTTTCCCTGCTATTAAATATTCATCTACAGAGTCATTTATAACAGGGGCATGAGGTTTTATTGCAGGCAAGTTCCATGCTTCTCAGACTGGGGTGCATGTACCCCTGAGGGCAAAGCCACAGGCTAAATGTAGCACATTCTCCTGAAGCATAAATTTGATTCGAAGCTTTGGGAGGAGAAAAAAAAACACATTATTTTAATATCAAAACAAGTGCTTATATACCATAGTGTGAAACAAAGAGCACCCATGAATTTTAAAACAACGCAGCCATGTTCAAGATTGTGTGAGCTTGTCACCCAAAGACCCAATTCCCCTCTCCTCCTAGGATGGCAGGAGCATCCGAGAAGCACTGAGTTCTAGTTCAAGCCCCTCTTTTTACACATCAGGCACCTGCGGCCCAGGGAGAAGAAGGGATTGCCCAAAGTCCACGCCTTGTGTGTTGCAGAGCCAAGCCATGGATCCCTGGCCCATACCCCTCCCAACTCTCCCATACTTGGCAGCACCCCTAGACTGCTTTTTCAGAGGGTGTGGGTGGAGACCTTGCCACTTGAGTAATCAACCCTCTGCTTATCTAAAGTGAAAGCTCTTGGCTTCCTGCATGATCCATTTCTTATCAGCAGCTTTTTTATTTTTTTCCTTTTCACCTTCTCGCCAGGATGTGAGCTGTGTACTCCTGTGGTTAGTAACTGTAGTCTTTATGGGAAAAGGTGGATGCCCTCCCCCAGCCTCCACAGTTGCCAGCAGCACTTAGATTTTTCACTTAATGAGCCGTATTGTAAACATGTATCCACGGGTCTGTTTTGCCCAGGAGACTGGGACTCCTGTAATCATTTTTATAATTTAACATTTATCAAGCACCTTCTGGATGCCAGGTGCCGTGCTGGGTGTTTTATCTACCGTCTTCATAACGCCTTTTCAAAGTGTGCATGATTGTCATCATTTATCAGTAAGAAAACTGAGCAAAAGATGATCACTTACCCATCATCACCCGCTCATTGAGTAAGTACTTACTGCAGGCTTACCTGCGGGGACTTGCGCTAAATGCTGTGGACAATCACGATGGCCAAAACTCATACCACTCCTGCCCTTGTGGAACTTACAGATGGTGGGGGAGATGATATTCAACAAATAATTACAAACTATAATGAGTGTAATGTAGCCCAGAGCCTATCCAGCTGCCTCAGTTTAAACCCATCCTGACTGCTTATTAGCTAGCTGACCTTGTGCAAGTCTGTTCACCTCTCTGCACCTCATCTTGGTCTTCTGGAAAAAGAGACCAGTGGGCATACTTGAGGACTGAGTAAATTAGCCCATGTAAAGCATCAGAGCAGGCCCTTGCACATTCCAGGTATGTCGTTGCTGCTAGTGGAACGGAGGACAGGCATGGGGTGCCAGGCGGTGTGATGGGGCAGTGCCTATGTCTGGTGACATCTGATTGAGTCTACAAGACGAATAGGAGCTCAAGTGTGAGGGTGATGGGGGGGGGGGGGGGGAGCAGGATGTTACAGGCAGAGGGAATAGCACATGCAAAGTACGGAGGGTGGACTCACCTGAAGAAATGCATGAAGTGTGGCTGGAACACACCAGGGAGGGAGCCATACAGGGTCTGTATCTGGAAAGGAGGAGCCTGCAATGGAAATGCAGCTGTTTCCAGGACCTGCACTCTGCAGGGCACTGTTGATCCAGGCCATGGGGGATGCTTGGTCAGTGTCACGTAAGCGGGCGAGCATGCACATGGACACACTACATTGGCCTCATGGGTCTTGGCTGTGGGTGTTCCACTCGTCCAGCCAGAAAAGGAGTCCACTGTCCCTTATACACAGTGATGTGTGAACAGTCCATCCCCACGGTCAAGTGGTACACATCCCTGTTGCTGGTCCCTCTTCTTGGCCGTAGACTGGAATGTGGGTTTGGATGGGGACCTTCTACATCTGGGACTCAGCAAGGTGGCTGCTGCTGGAATCCCTGCACTACAGTCAGGGCTTCAGAGCTAAGCCAGTAGTGTTCACACTGTTTTAGTAGTGAACCCTGTGTTGAAATAATCTTAAAGGAGACCCAGTATGTGGAACGGGTCAAGAAGGACTTCCACAGTCGAGCCACAAGCAGAGGGATTCAACACAGTTAGAAAATCAAGGGTTGAGCCCTGGTCGGTTTGGTTCAGCGGTGAGAGCATTGGCCCGTGGACCAAAGAGTCTCAAGTTCGATTCCGGCCAAGGGCACGTACCTCAGTTGCAGTTCGTCTCCAGCCCCAGTTAGGGTTGTACGGGTGGCAGCCTGTCGATGTGTCACTCTTACGTCGATGTTTCTCGCTCTCGCTCTCCACCTCCCACTCTGTCTGAAGATAAGTGTAAGGATATCCTCGGATGAGGATTAAAAAAAAAAAATCAAGGGTTGAGCTCAACTCTCATTTTCCAGGTGTGGAAACCTAGGCTCAGAGAGGGAATGCCTCTCCCAAGTTCACACAACTAGGGACAGACCCAGATCTGAATTCCAGACAGTTGATATCAACTGCGCTACACCCCGATTTTCCTCCACACCACCCTGACCACCCCACTCCTCAGTGTGGGGTCTCGAGGCTGGGAGGGGCTGTGGCTGTGATCTTGCCACGTGTGCAGCCTCCCGCCCCAGGCGGGGCCCAGAGCACGAGAGTCAAACATTCGGAGGGCAGGCGTGGGCGGGCTGTGCACGTTCACGACCTGCCGGTGCCATGTCTTCTCTCTCTCTCTCTTTAATTGAGTTTGAGGTGGTTGTTTTTTGTATCCTTAAGAAATGGAAAAGAATGAAGCTGCATAAACACAACGATGTTAACTCCCTGAAAAACCTCCTGCCATTTTAACTCTGTTACTGGAGAAATAAAAGAGAAATAATTTGTCCACCCACACTTAGCTGTTTCTGACGAAGGTAGGTGAATATTGCTTTGCTAATCGAGGGTGACTGCTGGAAGTGGAGCCACGCTGACTGATCCCGGATGCAGAGGGAGCCGCCCGCCGTGGGTCCGCGGGCCTGAGTCAGCCCCGCTGCCGCCTTTCACAGGTCTCCCCCAGCCGGTAGTGATGGAGGCCCTGGACCAGGCCGAAGGGCTCGCGGACTCGCAGAGAGAAATGCCACCACCACCCCCTGCGTCACCACCCTCAGAGCCAGCTCAGAAGCCGCCACCTCAAGGCACCAGGAGCTACTCCCTCACGGTCAAGAGCAGCCTGTGCCTATTAGCTGCCTCCCAGTTCCTGGTAAGGACAATTCAGGCCTCACTGGGCCTGGAGACAGTGCGGGTAGAGGGACAGCCCTCCACTTCCCCGCCCTGCTGGCCACCCAGGGATGTGGAGAGGTAAGGGGCCTCTCTCTTCGTGTCCATTAGTGACTCCGGCCCTCAGGCTGGCATGAGGAGGCTGGAGTTCTGAGCTACAGCCTCGATAGCTAAGCCCCTCACACCCTGCCCTCCCTAACCCCAGAAGCAGGAACACAGGCCCCCCCGAAACTCTGGCCCTGCAGGGATCTCTCTAAGGACTTCCTGTCTATGGAGGCATCTCTGGGAGATTTCCCATTTAATGCATGTAGCTGGGAGGGTCCCTGGGAAGGGCTTTCTCTTGACTCCCTTTAGTCAGCTGTTCTCCAGAGAGTCCTCAGGCCTTCTTTGGGCACACAGCACCTGGGCCCTCTCCTTAGCTGCACAGTCTGGACCTTGGGGAGCCAGGCTAGGGGGATGGGGATGGGGGCAAAGAGCCCAGGCTCCGAACTCAATCCACTTGTCCCAGCTTGCCTGCGGGATGCTCTGGCTCAGCGGCTATGGCCCCATCTGGTCACAGAATGCCACACTCCTGGAACAGCTGGGACCCAGGGTGAGTAAGCTCCGGGACCTCCAGGGCAGGGGGGCAGTTGGGGGCCTCCCTTCCCACCAGCCCCTGCATGGGGCTTCTCTGAGTTCCAGAGATACTTCCACGCCCCTGGAGCTCTACTCCCTGCTCCCCACCCAGACCTGGTCTGAGGTTTTGAGAGCCTCAGTCCTGTTCCTGTTGAAACAGATGAGAACTCTGCATCCCCATCCCCCTGACCTGTTTGATGTTCCCCAGGCCTGGCTGGGCGTTGAGACCTGGGAAGTCTCCAGCCTGCTGCTGGTCTCTCTGTCTGTGCTCCTCGTCACCACCCTGGTAAGGTGCCTCCTGACCTGACCTCAGTGCTCCCTTCCTCTGACCCTGAGGCCTGATCCCCACAGCTCCCTGGGTGGGGCTGAGGGCTGGGTCCTTGTCTTCTTCCTCCAGTATGCCCAGCATGGGGTGCGGGCACCTTCAGAGCTGATTGACAGTGTTCTAGGCAGGGGAACGGGGCTGAGGCGGGGAGAAGACTGAATCAGGAACCCCCACAGCCCACCAAGAAGCCCTCACTCCACAAGGAACTGAGGGGCTGGGGAGCTAGGGGTCAGGGAGGACAAGATGGGGGTGGAGCTCCCCATCTGTGTGAGGGGCAGTACCCCGCTGAGAGCTCCCGTGAGAACAGGGCTGCGCTAGACATATCGAAGGGCAGGGGCTTAATCCCAGGGGCAGCCCGTCAACAAGGGGGCAGGAGCACGGTCCCAGGTCCATGATGCCATATGCCTCCAACTAGGTGTGGCACCTCCTGAGGGCTCCCCCAGAGCCACCCACCCCACTGCCCCCCGAGGACAGGCGCCAGTCGGTAAGCCGCCAGCCCTCCTTCACCTACTCGGAGTGGATGGAAGAAAAGATCGAGGATGACTTTCTGGACCTGGACCCCGTCCCCGAGACTCCTGTGTTTGACTGCGTGATGGACATCAAGCCTGAGGCTGACCCCGCCTCACTGACCGTCAAGTCCATGGGTCTGCAGGAGAGGTGGGAGGGGTGGAGGGGGGTGGGCTCTATGGGCCCTGGAGCTCTCAGCTCCCAATCAGAAGGGCAGATGCCTGACTCGAACTCTCAGTGCCCAGGACTGAGCTGACCTCATAGCATAGCCAGTGTAAACACATGTTGTTTAGGTCTGGTGCATGTAATCAGATTGCCCCAATGTGAGTGCTAAGAAATACTGTTACTGCACATGAGCACATAGGCATACACAAGTGTATACGTGAGTACACTCACACATACACTCCTGTGCTCAAATGCGTTTCGGTGGGTTTCATTACTGCAGGACTTGTCAGGGCCTTTAACGTGCTCGTGTTCATTGTAAATCAAGGGGATAGTGTGTGGCATTCCTCAAAGTCACTTGACCACAAAACTCTACTTTTACAGAGTGTGTCATAGTGTTCCCCAGATCACACTTTGGAAGGTGTTGACACCCTCTTTTCAAAGACTAGCTGGGTACAGATCACACCAGGTCCGAGTTGCCCACATGGTGTCATGGACAGAGCGCCAAACGAGGAGTCAGTAATCCTAGCTTGTTTCAGCTCTGCTACCCCCTTACTGTGTGAGCTTGGGCAATTCTCGTCTTCTCCCTGGGACTCGGTGTCCCTTTCTGTGTAATGAGGGCCCTCTGTGTTCTGGGCCGTTAGACACTGAGCACAGCAGTTTGTCCAGAGTGGACATCCTTGTCGCCACTGTGCTGCCCTTGGAACTCCCTCTTTCCCTGACAGCCGAGGGTCCTGGCCTCTCCCGGATGAGATGTCCTTGACTCATTGGCAACCTCATCCCAGACTGCCGGGCCCAGGACCGTGATACAGAGGGTCGAGCCCTGCTTCTCTGATCTAGGCAGGTGCCCTCTCTCTGGGAGCACCCGGGGGCACAGGGCTGGGCACTGCCTCCAGTGGTGACAGAGGAGAGTCCAGGGGAGGGCTGTGTTAAGGTTGCCTCAGATGGAACCTTTGGAACTGGGCCCCCAACCCCCCACTCAGTTAGCTGCTACACCACAGGCCTAAGCCTTGGGGCTGAGACTTGTGCTCCTTATGTTAGGGGTGCTGTCACACCCCCACTCCTTGGAACCCACCCAGTTCCCACCCCTGATCTCCCCATCCCTCGTCTTCCCACTCCAAGCCCCCGGTTGCTGCTCTGCCCTTCCCCTGAGATTCACTTTCTTTTTCCTGGTCCTTCCAGGAGGGGCTCCAATGTCTCCCTGACCCTGGACATGTGCACACCCGGCTGCAACGAGGAGGGCTTCGGCTATCTCATGTCCCCACGCGAGGAGTCAGCCCGAGAGTACCTGCTCAGTGCCTCCCGCGTGCTCCGGGCCGAGGAGCTCCACGAAAAGGCCCTGGACCCCTTCCTGCTGCAGGCAGAATTCTTTGTGAGTCCCCTGAGCCGCTGCCCCACGGTGGGCAGACCTCTCTGCTCACATCAATCACCTAACTAGCAAGGCAGCAGAGTGGGGTGCCCGGAACTCAGCATCTGTAGATGAACATCATTCTGTTATCAGCTCTCCTACTGTCTTGGGCAAGCTGCCTCCTCTCTGGGCCTCAGTTTTCTCATCTAGAAAATGGGGATAAAAGTAGTGGGGATGTTGTAGGGATTCGAGATCACTGAGGTGTGCAAAGTGCCCGCCTGGGTGATGTGTGTTCAGTGCCATTCCCAAGTCTTCAGTGCCCAGGCCTGTGCCCTGAGAGCCCCAGAGAGCCCTCTCTTCTGACTGCCGCTTCCCCACCCCTCCGCCCACTTCTCAAGCGTTGTCCGTGCCCCTTTGAAATCTCTCCACCCCTGTGGCTGGAGCTGAGGGTGGTTCTAATCACCTCCTCTCTAGCCATCTGCAGCAGCCTCCAGCTGCCTCCTGCTGGACTTCGAGGAACCCAGTAAATGTCACTCAGTTCGACCTGCCTGAGCGCTCAGCCAGTTAAGAGCTAAGACCTGGCAGATCACCATATCACCTTTGTTTTTGTTGGCAAAGACTAGGTCTAAGAGGAGGCTTTGGTATGCAGCAGTAGTGAGCTTTCTAATAACAAGCCCCAGAATTAAACTTTCTACCCATCCCAGGCGGCACTGGCATGTTCTGGGCCTCATAGGGTGTCCCTACAATTCTTTCCTGTCAGGAGGGCCGGAGAGGAGGGGGCTGGGGCCCAAAAGTCTGTTTCTCAGGTTACTTCTCGCCCCTGTGGGCAGGATGGGTGAGGGGCCATGAGTATTTGAGGGGAGTCTCTCCTGGGAGAAGCCAGGGAGATAGGGAACCATGTGCCTCCCTCACAGCTCCCCTGCCCTGAGGCCGAATGGCTCTAAGAAGACCTCCATCACCCTGTGACCCACTGCTCCAAATTCTGCAGAACTTGGCGTGGCCTGTGCTACCGGAGTTGGGCTAGCCCAGCCCCCTTTTCTAGCTGTATGACCGCCAGCCCCTGCAGGGACTGTCCACTTCAAACTGGGCCAGCTTACCCACTGCCATGTCTTCCTCCTCCCAGGCCTTTTCCAACACCATCCCCCACCCCTGATACCTTTAGAAAGCCTTCCTGAACCATCCCAGCCCCTGCTCCCGCTCTGAGTTCCCACCACCATCACCTCCCCTCGAAGAAAGGACTAGCGTCCTCTCTGTCATTTCCTGTTCAGTAGATCATTGTCAATTTTGCCCAAAGAGAAAGGGACACAGCCTGCACACCCAGTCCATGGGCACTTTTGCACACATTTTTTATTCTTTTGAGTCTCACAACAACCCTAGAAAGTGTATCATGATCCTTGTTTCACAAAGACCATACTTAGCCCTGGCCGGTTTGGCTCAGTGGTAGAGCATCGGCCCTGCAGACCAATGAGTCTCAGGTTCAGTTCCAGCCAAGGGCACGTACCTCGGTTGTGGTTCATTTCCAGCCCTTGTTGGGGTCATGCAGGAGGCAACCAGTCGATGAGTCTCTCTCTCACATCGATGTGTGTCTCTGTCTCTCACGTAGATGTTTCTCTCTCTCTCTCCCTCTCTCCCCTCCCTCCCTCCCACTCTATCTGAAGATAAATGGAAACATATCCTTGGGTGAGGATTAAAAGATAATAAAGTGCATAATTAGTGGACCAAACACAGTGAACCCTGTAGAACTGTATGTGGTCGGGTGTATGTGGACAGACAGAAGGGCAGTGCAGGGGCAAGAGGCACTGAGGAGTCGTCCCAGAGGACATGGGGGAGGTGGGGCTAGAGGGGACCTTGAAGGGTGAGGAGGATGTGGACAATTGAAGGGGTGCTCCCTGCAAGTGGAATGCCACAAGCTCAGAACTGGAGGCAAGATGGGAAATGGCATATTAGCAACAGGAAGAGACAGGCATAACTGGAGAGTGGGAATTTTGAGAGCAGCTAGTGGTAAAGAAAAGCCAGATCAGGCCTGGCCTGTTTGCTCAGTGGTTAGAGCGCCAGCCTGTTTGCAGACCAGAGAGACCCAGGTTCAGTTCCCACTAAGGGCACGTACCTCAGTTGCAGTTTGTCCCCAGCCCTGGTTGGGGTCGTGTGGGTGGCAGCCAGTTCATGTGTCTATCATGTGGATGTTTCGCTTGCTCTCTTCCTCCCTCTCTCCCTCCTGCTCTGTCTGAAGATAAATGCAAAAATGTCCTCGGGTGAGGATAAAAAAAAAAGAAAGAAAAGCCAGATCCCAGACCACCTCACATTTCAGGCAGAGGAATCCAGGCTTGGAGCTCTTGACACAGAGTGATTGGGAGGTGCAAATATAGCCCTGGGAGCTCAGGTGGCTCCTTTCCTGCTGGAGAATCAGGGAAGGCTTCTTGGAGGAGGTGACATTTATATGGACAGGACATGAGAATGGGGTGGAACACAGAGTGAGCAGCACAACCCAAGGTCCTGAAGTGAGGGTGTCTAGGGTGGGAACACGAAGCAACAAAGCCACTCAGTTTGGCAGCAGCACAGGGAGTGTGGAAGATGGTGGTGATCAGGTTGCTATTCAAACCTGTTCTTGTTTATCGACCATTTATTGTCTGCTACGTGTCAGAGTGGCCCTCAGTAGGCAGTAGTAATAGTAAGTTTTATTATGCACTCAGTATGTGCCCAACACAGTGCACTAACTCATTTAATACTGAAGATTAAATGAACGCACACACTCAAGCCAGCCCCGGACCAGAAGTTGGGAGCACAGCAGCCCCTGGATTCACACATCTGTGAGGGCCAGCCCACAGCTGCTCACACCCCATGTCCTCTTCCTGCAGGAAATCCCCATGAACTTTGTGGATCCAAAAGAGTATGACATCCCTGGGCTGGTACGGAAGAACCGGTACAGAACCATCCTTCCCAGTGAGTACTCCCTGCCCCTGGGGGTTGGGGGCAGTTTCACCCTCCCCTGGTGTCCCCTCACCCACCTGGAGGAACCTTAACCCCAGGGTCACAAGAAGGGATGGAGGGTGGCGATGCCCAGTGAAGGGACACGCCCCCTGTAGAGGGCAGAGGTTAGTTCATTCCTGCACGAAGCCTCTGTCCTCCCCTGGCCAGGTGTGGCGCTGGGCGCTGTGGAATCCCAGAGAGAAAGAGTGACCACAACATACTACATACTATGTGGCGATGGCAAAGTTCTCACATTCTTTGTCTCTTCAGAGTGGGCAGATTTTAGGGAGAGGTGATTAAGGCTCAGAGAGGTTAAGTGGCTCAGCCATAGTCACACAGCTAGTCAGTACAGAACCGAGTTTCAAACTAGGCCCATGTGACCCCAGAATTGGGCTCTTTTGGGTACCCCGAGTTTAGTTTGTTCAGGCTGTGCATCCGCTACCAGGCAGAGCAACCCCACAAGGCAGTGAGCCCCCTGCCGGGTAGTCGGTGCCCCGGCACTGAAGGTGTTCGGGCGGGGCTGCCCCTGGAGCGTGCTAGGGGTCTTCCCTCTTTGGGGGTGGTTAGACCAGGTGACCTGATGTTTCTCTCGCAGCCCTGGGGTGTCATTTTCAGGGAACTTTAATCAAGCTCCTGTCTGTGTGTTACCCTGCCAAGTTCTGGCCCCAAGCCCCAGGGCTAGCTCAGAGGGGTGACTTGTTGAAAGTGAATCCCCACAAACCTACTCCACTCAGTTTATGGAGTGACGAGGCTTTAAAAAAAGCAGTTTTGCCATCAGCATCTCCAACAACATGTAAGATGTCATGACTTATTTTTAACTTTTAAAATATCGACTTGTGGTTGTCATGGTTACACAGTCTCTAGGTAGTTCCGGTTAAACAAAGCACCATGTAAGGCCAGGAGGCACTTTTCAGGGCTGCTAACCTCTTCGCTCATCTTGCTCCCCCACACCCACCTAGCCCCACCTGGAGGGAGGGGATCGGGTACCCCAGAACCTAGGCCTTGGCTGGCTGCTCAGGATGGCCACTGGAGGAGGACCGGAGTGAGGCCACCACTCCACCTGGCACTGAGTTGCTGAGAGGCCTCCGAGCCCAACAGACAGGGTTCTCTGCGGCCAGCAAAAACTGACCCTGTGCCCTCAGACACTGGGCTGGGGCAATGCCCGAGGGCAGGGAAGGCTTGGCAGAGGCTCCCTGTCAGACCCAGGTCACCCTGAGGTTGGTTCTCACATTCATTCTCACATTTCCTAAGCCCCTGCCCCCGGGGTAGGAATTCAGATGTGAATGATACACAGACGGTGTGCAGGGAGCGCACAGGCTGTTGCAGACCAATCCGTGGACAGCGACAGTACAGAGTGACCAGTAGCCCTGCAGGCAGCACTGAGAACAAGATGCAGGGGAGCAAAGTCTGGCCATTTTGCCACTGTGCCCAGGCACCAGGCGTGCCCGGCACATCAGACGTTCTGCACCTGTCCGAGGGGATGAATGGGTGAGTGAGTGAGGGAATGTCTCAGACTAGCTCCCCTTCTCCATCCTCACTTCCAGGTGACTTTTAGGGGTAGGGGTACCTGCCCAGTTTCAGGGGTGCCATTTACATCAACTGCATTGACAATTACTGCCCCCTGGAGATGTGCGGGGCAGGGCAGCCCTCTGACCCCTGACACTTCTTACTTGGATCATTGCAGTAATCTTCTAACTGTTCTGACTCCCACATCCTTCCCTCCTATCCATCTTCTGTCATTGTCACCGAAATGATGCAAAACCGAAATCCAGTCTTTCTGCTCCTCAAACACTGTCCTGTCACCCTGCAGTCCTTGGGTTCGGGTCCAGCCTGATGAGCATGGTTTATGAGACCCTTTGTCAACAGGTTCTGCTCCAGTTCATCTCTCACCAGCCCCACCCGCTCTGTGCACTTGGGTTAGACTAGACAGCTGGTGTTCCCAACTCCTCCTCTGCTGGTCCCTTAAACCTAATCCAGGTGCCACCTCTTCTAGGAAGCTAGGGTTACACCCCAGCCAAGTCAGGGGCCCCCTGTTCCTTGGCCCCAGTGCTCACAGGCCGTACACTGCTTGTCTGCCTGCCCAATGCTTGGGAGCAGGGACTCTGTCCTGTTTATCTAGAAGCTTCTAATTTCAAGCACAGTGCCAGGCATAGTACGGTCGATAGGACCATTCCCACAGTGGTTCTTTTTTTTGTATGTTTTTTTTTGTTTTGTTTTTGTGTTTTATCCTCACCTGAGGACATTTTTCCATTTTAGTTCAGGTAGAGTGGGAGGGAGAGAAAGAGAGAGAGAGAGAGAGAAACATCGACGTGAAAGGGACACATCAAGTGGCTGCCACCCGCACGGCCAACCAGGGCCGGGGACAAACTGCACTTGAGGTACGCGCCCTTAGCGGGAACTGAACCCAGGTCTCTCTGGACCACAGGCCGACGCTCTAACCGCTGAGCCAAACCGGCCAGGGCTTTTTTGTATGTTTTTATTTATTTTTTTAGATAGAGAGGAAGGGAGAGATAGAAACATCAATGTGAGAGAGAAACATCAATCCACTGCCTCCTGCACGCCCCCTACTGGAGATTGAGCCCACAACCTGGACATGTGCCCTGACTGGGGATCCATCCAGGACCTCTCAGTCGATGGGACGATGCTCAATGCACTGAGCCACACCAGCCGGGCCCACCGTGATTTTTTAATACCAAAGACCCTGGTGTCTGGCCAGAGGGGCCAGTGCCCACTTCTGGTACCTAATCTGGGCAGCGCTGATAAGGAGAAAGAAGATAGCCTGTGCAGCACGCCCTGCTCCCCTCTCCTGCTGGTCACCCGGAGGCCCCCTCCACTTGCCTTGCTCTTCTCCATTCCTGACACCTCTCTACACCCCTGTCCACAGAGCTTCCCCACCTCAGGCACTGAGGCTGGGGCTTAACAGGGCTGGAGAGCAGAGGTTCATGCGTTTGTCCTGCTGTGGCATCCTTGTTTTTACCTTGTTTTTACCCGTTAACTATGGTATCACTTGTAATGATGGCAATAACAAGAGCAGCAACTTGTTGAGTAGTGTTTTCTGTACGCTGGGCTAAATTACTGGTCTAAGAACTCGGTAACATTCACTCCTTTAACCTTTACAAGATTAGTAAGGTTATGATGCAAGGGATGTCCCCAGTTTACCGCTAAGGCACAGGGAGATTAAGTAGATGACCCACGTTGACACAGCCAGTACGTCAGAACCAGGATTTGAACCCAGGCTGTCTGGTTCAGTGATGTGGATTCTTAACCGCTCCCCTATACTTTGAGAGCCCATCCTGTGCATGCCTGAAGTACCTTTAGTCCAGCCCTCCCCCCAGTGCAGGAGAGGAACCAAGCCCAGAGAAGAGATAAGGCAGTGAGCTGGTGGCAAAGACAGACCACAGCCAGGACCCCGAGTCCCAGCCAGCTTCCTGCCCCCCACACACCGGTCTCCGTCTCAGTACCAGCGTCTGCAGGCCCACAGCCGCCAGGGCAGGGAGGCTGCAGCTGGAACAAAACAGATTCCACTCCAGGAAGAAGAGCAGGACGTCATGAGAATCTATTTCTATGGGATTTGACACGGGAATGGATTGAAGAGGGGAAACGCCCTTTGTGCCCACGTGTCTGCTGCTGAGACCCTGCAGTCTCGGCTCAGACGTGGACGGCTTTTCCCCTGGTATCCCAGTATTCTTCCTCAATGTTCATACCCCGAATCCTAACAGCCCTTTCTACTTATAAAGTACATCACGGTTTACATAGCACTTGCACAGCTGTTTTCTCATTTATCTTCCCAACAATCCTAGGAAGTGGGTATCTTTTTTTTTTTTATCTTTATTGTTGAAAGTATTACAGATGTTCCTCATTTTCCCCCCATTTACCCTCCCTCCTCCCCACTCCCACCCCCCTCCCGCCTGTTCCCACACTATTGTCTGTGTGCATTGGTTATGCATATAAGTTCTTTGGTTTATTTCTTCCCACCCCCCAACCCCCTTCCCTTTGAGGTTTGTCAGTCTAACAATTGTTCTTAATCCCTTCACCTTTTTCACCCATTCCCCCAATCCCCCTCCCATCTGACAACCAACAAAATGTTCTCTGTATCTATGAGAATGTTTCTGTTCTGCCTGTTCATTTTGTTTGTAGATTCCATTGTCGATAGATATGTATTCATTGCCATTTTGTTTGTTCATATATTTTATCTTTTTCTTCAAAGAGACCCTTCAACAGTTCATATAATAACGGTTTGGTGGTGATGAACTCCTTTAGCTTTTCCTTGTCTGGAAAACTCTTTGTATGGCTATCGATTCTAAATGACAGCTTTGCAGGATAGAGTAATCTTGGTTGTAGGTTCTTGCTTTTCATCACTCTGAATATTTCTTGCCACTCCTTTCTGGCCTGCAAAGTTTCTTTTGAGAAATCAGCAGACAGTCTTATTGGAACACCCTTGTAGGTAACTAACTGCCTTTCTCTTGCTGCTTTTAAGATTCTTTCTTTGTCTTGAACCTTTTGTATTTTGATGATGATGTGTCTTGGTGTGGGCCTCTTGGGGTTCACCTTGTTTGGGACTCTCTGTGCTTCCTGGACTTGTATGTCTGTTTCCTTTACCAAGTTAGGGAAGTTTTCTGCCACTGTTGTTTCAAATAGGTTTTCAATTTCTTGTTCTCTCTCTCCTCCTTCTGGCACCCTCAAGATGCGGATGTTGGCACGCTTGAAGTTGTCCCAGAGGCTCTTTACACTATCCACATTGTTTTGGATTCTTTTTTCTTTGTGCTGTTCTGATTGGGTGTTCTTTGCTTCCTTATATTCCAAATCGATGGTTTGCTTCTTGGCTTTACCTACTCTACTATTGAATCTGTATAAATTACTCTTTATTTCAGTTAGTGCCTTCTTCATTTCTGACTGGTCCTTTTTTATGCTCTTGAGGCCCTCACTAAGTTCGCTGAGGTTCTCACTAAGTTCATTGAGCATCCTTATAAGCAGCATTTTGAACTCAGCATCTGTTAGGTTGCTTATCTCCATTTCGCTTAGTTCTTTTCCTGGGGTTTTGTTCTGTTCTTTCATTTGGGACCTGTTTCTTTGTCTCCTCATTTTGGCTGCCTCCCTGTGTTTGTTTCTGTGTATTACTGAACGAGAGGTATGGGGCTATCTGAGAGCAGATACTGCTTGTTTGAAAGAATTTAGGAAAACCTGAAGCAGGATCCAAGACAGGCCAATCCTGTGGTTAGGCAACTGGCAACAGCTTGGGTGGACCTGAAAGTTGGGTGGGCGGGGCCTCAGGGAATCACCCGGGCGGGGCTACCAGTGGGAGCCAGGTTGCTGGAGTCCCAGGTATGGCAGCTGTCTGCCACCCCAGGGAAGGGCTCACCAAAGGAGCAAAGGCCTCTGACAGCATGTCTGTCCAATAGAAAGCCCCTTTTCCAGCCCTCGCTCCAATGCCAAACAGCTCAGTTCTTCCCTGTATGTCTCTGGTGTCCCTCGAGCTCCCTCCCCTCCGAGCTTAGAGGGAGAAAGTCCGATAAGTCTGTGCGCGGGCCCTTTAAGGAGCTGCCTGGGGCTCCAACCACCTCAGCCTCCCTGAGCCTCAGTTCCCGCTGGTTTTTCCAGCCAGAAGTTATGGGGACTTCTCTTCCTGGCACTGGAACCCTGAGCGGGGCGCCTGGTGTGGGACGGGGACCCCTTACTCCTCAGGAAGGACCTTCCCAGCCGAGGTGTCCTCCTGATATTTATCCGCCACACATGGGTGTGGGACCAGCCCCTCCACCTCCACCCCTCCTACCAGTCTGGATGTGGCTGCTGCTTTAATTCCGTAGTTGTAGGACTTCCATTCAGCTTGATTTCAGGCGGTTTTGAATGATGGTTGTTCTGTAGTTTAGTTGTAACTTTGATGTGGTTGTGGGAGGACGCGACACCGCATTTACCTACACGTCCATCTTGACCGGAAGTAGGTATCTTTAACCCCATATTACAGACAGGAAAACAGGGGTGTAGAAAGGCTATGTGCTTTACCAGCGTACACAGCTGGTAAGGGTGTATGTTCAAACTCTGGCTGCCCCTGCCATCCAGGATGTGTACCCCAGATAACGCCTTTCTTTGCTTTGCTTTTTCTCTCCAGAACATTGGACACAGTGTGTTTGGGGCAGTTTAAGGGACATGGGCAAGGGGCAGGCTCTGATGCTACAGAGGTAGAGACCCGGGGCCTCGCACTCGAAACCCTCCAGCCTGGGCCTCGCCTGCCTCAGTGGGCCATGGGGAAGGGGCAGTGTTTTGCTACAGGGCAGGAGAAAGAAGAACGTTAAGAGTCTCAGAGAAATATGGGTGCCCTGAACAGGCCAGACAAGGTGGGCCCTGCCCCAGGAGGATTGCACATGTCAGACCCCAGCCTCACCTGTCTTCCTAACCCCAGACCCTCACAGCAGAGTGTGTCTGACTTCACCAGACCCTGACGACCCTCTGAGTTCCTACATCAACGCCAACTACATCCGGGTACGTAGCCCCATCCCAACACTCTTTCCTGAAAAGGAGGCCCACGCTGATGGGATCCATCCTCCAGGCTTGTCCCTAAGCCAGTGCGGCTGTTGCCAGCCCCCGGGATGAGCCTGAATGTGGGGACTGGGCCCCAGGAACACTGCGTCTGACCCTGACAGCCTGGACTTGGCTGGCCACAGGGTTACGGTGGGGAGGAGAAGGTGTACATCGCCACTCAGGGACCCATCGTCAGCACGGTCGGCGACTTCTGGCACATGGTGTGGCAGGAGCACACGCCCATCATTGTCATGATCACCAACATCGAGGAGATGAACGAGGTAGGCACCTCTGCACCATCACCGGGTGTCTGCAGCTCTGTGCCCACGCTAAGCCTCCTGTTTTCATGTTCTTACAACAGTCTTGTGAAATTGGTCCTATACAGTCCGCAGGCAAGGTGAGGGAGTGTGAGGCTCAGCGAGGTGAAGTCGTTTGCTCAGGCCACACCAGTACTCAGAGGCAGAGCCAGGAGCTGGCCTCTGTCTCCAGTGCCCATGACCTTAAGCAGGATGCTCTGCTGCCTCCGAGGCTGCCAGGGCTGATGCTGGCTGCTTCCATACTCATAACAGCCCATTTAATTGAACCCCTAAGAAAGTCCTTAAAATGGGTATTACTCTCATTTTCCAGATAAGGTAAGGTTACTGAGGCTCAGAAAAGGGAGACAATGTAAAGGTTATGAAGCCGAGATTTGAATCCAGTACTCTAACTGCAAACCTATTGCCATTTTATTTTTATTTGTTGTTTATTAATCCTTGCCCAAGGATATTTTTCCATTGATTTTTAGAAAAGGGAGGGAGAGAGAGAGAGAGAAACATCAATGTGAGAGAGAGAACACTGATTGGTTGCATCCTATACAACCCCGACCCGGGCCAGGGATCGAACCTGCAACCCAGGTACGTACCCACCGGGAATCAAACCCATGACCCTTGGCTCCTCGGGCTGACACTCTAACCATTGGGCCAAATCGGCCTGGACTCTATTGCCATTTTATATCTCCCCCAGTGCCTCTGGGCACTGGGGAGAGTATGGTTGGGGAACTAGGATGTATTGCAGCCTGGTCTTGGCCCCTACAGAAGTGCACTGAGTATTGGCCAGAGGAGCAGGTGGTGTATGACGGCGTGGAGATCACCGTGCGGAAAGTCATTCACACTGAGGATTACCGGCTGCGGCTCATCTCCCTCCGGGTGAGACTTGGGGCTGGGAGGATGGGGGCAAGGGCTTCACTGAGTACACCACAGAAACAGCGTTCCAGAGTCCACTCTAGCTGAAATCAAGTCCTGTGTCTTCCAGGACTTACTGATGAGCAGGGATAAGGGAGGGTGAATGGACTTGGGGAACAGAAGCAGGACCAAACCTCAGTTGTATTTCATGCTGTTGGACTCTCTGTGTGTCTAGACTGTTATTCATAATGCCTTCCAGCTCTGCTTCAAATGCACCCACATCCACGACTGTCTGGTTAAGGGGTCTCCAGCTGCCTCCAGAACTGCCCTTATAACTGGAAGACCCTTCACCTGGGATACTGGCCTTCTGGCCTGTAGTACCCAGTGTGTCCACCAGAGGGAAGACACTCCTTGCTGTTGCACTTGGGTTGCATGAGGGAGTTGAGAATACAGAAAAAGGGGGAAAAGGAGAGACACGAAATATGAGCAATACAAAACAGCCCAGAAGAGTAGGGGAAGGTGTCCTCCTACCGAAAGTTGTGCTTCTTCCAGGAACAGCATACTAGAGGAGACTTCCTTTGGAACGAGGAGGATCATGGGTTCTCTTTTTGAGACATGATAGCCACATTTGGGGAAGGTGGACCATTCTAATAACCCCAAAGGCTGGAAGAGGAATTAAGGTGGGGTTTCAGGGAGCACTCAGCCCCCAGAGGGCAGTGCCCGCCTGAACAGCTCTGCGATATAGGCCTGGCTGGAGGGCAGAAAGGACCAGGAGGTGGGGGCAAAGCTGTGGTAGCTGTCACAGACAGCTGACCCAAGGATCCGAGGAGCTAGAATCCTGTTTCCCCAGAAAGAGAGGTGGAGGGGGAGGCAGGGCTGCCTTATCTTCTTGGTGCCACAGGACTGGTTAGGGAAGCAGCCTGGGGTTTGGAGGCACATACTTCTGTCCATAGATCTTCATGAGCACCTGCCCCGGGCCTGGTTCTGGGTTGGGTACTGGGAACAGAGCTGACTAAAGCCTGACTGTCCTCAAGGGGCACCCGTAAAATGGGAAGTACTGAGCTAGAGATAGGTAAGAACACAGGACATTCTGCCATCTGGGGTGCTCCCGTGTCCTCCCTCCTGTGTTCTTCCTGAGGGTTTCCTGGAAGTGGTGGTATTGAATGGAGTTTTGAAGGATGAGTAAGAGTTGACCAGGGGCAAACAAATAGGGTTTTGCTCTCTACGTTCCAGGCAGAAAAAAAAGTAAGGGCATGGAAATACAACATCTGTGTGTGTGTGTGTGTGGTTTTATCTACAAACCATTTGGGATGAGGGAGCATCAAGTACCAGTACACAGGGGCAGAGACGGGCCTGGAAGGGTAGACCCTGCAGTGCGAGTCTTATTTGCCAGGCTGAAGACTAAGGAGAATGCGTTTGGTTCATAAAGCAAGAACCATGGAAGGGTTCTGAGCAGGAGAGCAGCATGTCCGGATTTGTGCTGCTGACAGACCGTTTTGACTGGTGTGGACATGGGGCAGCGGAGGGGGGGGGGGCGTCTGCACAGGTGAGAGCTAATAAAGGCCAAAGTGGAAGAAGTGTGGGGAGCAGGGCAGGGAGAGGAGGGAAACAACACTTGCTGGGGGTGGGGGTGGGGGTAGGGGTGGGCAGAACAGGCGTGAGGGAGAGGAAGGGTCCCGGAGCTTTGGTTATGTGGCGAAGGGGTGCCTGGGCTGTTTATTAAGTTAAGCAGCTGGGAGACAGGAATGAATTGGAGGAGGGACTCTTCACCTCTCCTGGATGATGCTGGAGTTGCTGGGGCAGAACTGATGTGAAGACCAATGCCAGTTCCACTGACCAGCCCCACTACCCAGCTGGCTTTGTGTCTCCTTCTGGTGCCACTGGGCAATGTGGTGTAGATGGCAGAGGCCAGAGGTCCCACCCCCTGTGTCCTCCCTTCTGTGTTCTTCCTCCTCCCATCCCATCCCCATCTCTGTGCTTTGTGGGTCTCTGTCTCCTGGACAGAGTGGGACCGAAGAGCGAGGCCTGAAGCATTACTGGTTTACGTCCTGGCCCGACCAGAAGACCCCAGACCGGGCACCCCCACTCTTGCACCTGGTGCAGGAGGTGGAGGAGGCCGCCCAGCAGGAGGGGCCCCACTGTGCCCCCATCATCGTCCACTGCAGGTGGGTCCTCCCGGCCACCCACCAGGGCAGGGCAGCCCCCTGCTGCCCCGCCCCCTCACCCCCATCCCCTCGGCCCTCAGCGCAGGGATTGGGAGGACTGGCTGCTTCATTGCCACCAGCATCTGCTGCCAGCAGCTGCGGCAGGAGGGCGTGGTGGATATCCTGAAGACCACGTGCCAGCTCCGTCAGGACAGGTCAGCCCGGGCATGGTGGGGGCACATGGAGAGCTTGAGCCCTGACTGGTGCATGGATGAGGGGCAGGAGAACACACTGGGCATGGACCAACTGGCTGCTAGGGCAGGGAAGACAGGTAGAGGGGCTGGATCTGGCCAGCTGGTAGCTGGATGAGAGGGAGGAGAAAGTTGGTGAGCAGAAGGCCAGGGGCTGAGTGGTGGGGATCACCAGAGCTGGGGGCAGGAGGAACAGAGGGTTGGCTAGAGTTGGCCTCTCCAACCCTAGTGTGAGGCAAGGCCCCTCACAAATGATTGGTACTGTGTGGGTTTGGGGGCACCCTCCCACAGCACATCCCTCAACAACCCCACCCATTGTGCATCTCTGACGGGCAGGGGCGGCATGATCCAGACGTGCGAACAGTACCAGTTTGTGCATCATGTCATGAGCCTCTATGAGAAGCAGCTGTCCCGCCAGTCCCCAGAGTGACCTCACTGCCCCCCGAGGTCCTCTGGGCACCACCCAGTCTGAGTCTGGGCCCTTACCCCAGCCACACCCCCAGGGCCTAGCCCTGTGTCCTGGCCTGCTCCCTGCCCTGCCCTGCCCCTCCTGCTTCCTTCTCTCCAGCCTGGCCCCTGCCCCCACATAGCTCTTCCTACTGTATATATTGGGGAGTGGAGCAGGGTGGGGGAGGGATGTGCCAGGCCAGGCCTGCGGCTCCAGGACCTGACCCCCACCGCGCAGACCTGGGGCCTCAGTTTTTAATGCCGGTTCCATTGCTACTTGATCCAAAATGTTTGTGCCGCACTCCGTGTCCTGCCACAGCGTGTTCTGTCTGTCCATCTATCTCTGCTGTCTGTACCGGACACTGTGTCTCCTCAGCCTGGGAAGGGGGTAATGAGCTCCAGCCCCTAAGTAGCCCAGGCAGAGGTGCCTGGCTCAGGCCCCCACCCCACTGCTCCCAACAGGCAGATGAAATTTTGCCCCCAGTTATTGGGATCAGGATGAGGAGAAGGCCTGAGGACCTGGAGGTCAGGCATGGGGAACTCCAGAGTGGGGAGAGAGATCTCAGCTAGGGAGAGATCTCTGGGTTGGGGAGGGGGGAGTCTCACAGTCTGGATGCCTCTGGTGTCACATGCCCTGGGGAGGCAGTGACCAGCCTGCAAGGCATTGGGGAGGAAAGGGACATGGGGGCTGTGAACCCAGAGGACCTGGGCCCTGGTGGGGGTGGGAGGGAGAGGGGGAGCTCCAAGGGCGGGTTGGGGACTCGGCCCCAAATCTGTGTGAAACATTTTTCTGTGTCACTCTGGGAAGGCTTCCCAGATGTCTTGCTGCGTGTAGCTCTCTGCGTGTGTTCCCGTGTCCATGCGTGTGTTGAGAGCCCATCAGCGGGGCATGCATGACTCTTTGGCAACATGTGTTATCTTGGAGCCACGTGTTTTTATTGCTGACTTTAAATATTTATTCCACGGCAGACAGAGACAGTTGGTGTCTTTTTATAATTTGCTCGTGGTCATTGAATAGAGCAATAAACAGAGCATTTTGAGCAAAACTAGCCTCCTGGGTCTGTGATTGCCTCCCCTCCACTCGCTGCCTCCCTGTACTGGTTTCCTCCTCCTAGATTGTGTGGAACCCTGGCCCTCGGTCTCCCTCACACCTCTTGTGGAGATTGGGAGTATGGAGCGAACCCAGATCTGCAGAGCCAAAGAAGTCCAGTGGGCAGGATTCTCACACACCCTCACCCCAATCCAGCTGGGACATGGGAAGTCTCAAGAACAGGTGTGGAAGGCTTCTACAGAAGGCAAAGCAGCTGTCCGGGCACCAGTTCCAACAGGTGGACCAGAGAAGCCAAGGCTGGGCAGGGGGACATTCAGGTCACTGCTCCAGGCCCCTCCCTGTTGGCCAGCACACTTATCCCATATTAGCCCTACAGGTCCCAACAGCAGCTGCAACCTGGTAATTTCCCTTTTAAGGCCTGGGCTGAGACTCACCCCTCCCAAGGGGCCTGGAGAATCTGCCCACGGGTTCAGATTCTGAACACCGCTGCTCTATTCTTGCCCCTGCCCCAGGGATGCAGCAAAAGTAGCTTTGATGTCAAGGCTAGCAAGCAGGGGGTGCATTTCAGGGCAGGGCTGCTGATGGACCAGCAGGTCCTTACAGGTACCAGAACCGTGTGCCGCTGAGCGAGGGTCTAGCCATGCAGGTGTACTATAGACGAGGATAGAATAAGGAGTGGCTGAACAGCTGGGGTGGACGTCGGGGTAGGGGCATGCTGTCCCGCCACCCTCCACCAGGAGGATGGGCCTCCTACCCTTCCACCCAGATTGGGGGATTGAGCTGTAGCAGTGGGAAGAGGGAGGAGGGCTGACATTTCCCTCTCCTCCCCCGAGTGTCCCTGTGAGGCCTCTCAGGCTGTGCAAGCACCTTACATAGATGAATGGTGCCCCTGGACTTGTGCAAAATGGCAGACCCACCTGACCTTCCCATTGGACTGTGCAGGCACATCTACATGAGCATGTGCGTGCACACACACCCCACCCTGAGCCCCTCAGCTCAGTTCCTACCCAGCAGCAGTGAGAAGCAAAACCTCTGCCACAAAGGAACAAGTGAAGTACCCCTGGACCACCACCCTCAGCCCCCACCCACCCCTGCCCAGCATTTCCTCCAGCCTTAGCTCCAGCCTCAGGTCCCCCAACCTCCACCCCACCCCCAAAGCAGTGTGTCAGATAGCTGGGGCAGCTGCACAGCCTGAGTAAGGGATGGCCCCCAGGGGCCAGACATTTAAGGAACCGGTGACTCCTGGCTGCCGCACTGTTAAGGCAAAGGAGGAGACTGCCCAGCCTGCAGCCCAGGCATTAGCTGCTCCCCGTAGCCGTGGACACAGCATTTGAGGGTTAGGAGGGACTGGTCACACGAAGGTAAGACTTCCCTCATCCCTCAAGAGGGGACAGAGCCCTCTCTTCTGAGCCCAGAGAGGGACAGCAGGCGCTGGGACAGGTTGTCTCAGAAGCTGGAGGGAGAAGCAGGACAGGCCGAAATACATCATGGCGGGGTGGCGAAGAGAGTTGAGCCTCGAAATGCCTCGCTCAGAACAGGGCTTTTGGGGTCCCCTGAAAGGTCACCGGACTGGGAGTCAGGAGGCCAGGATTCCAGTCTGAGTGACCTAGGACAGGTTCTTTCTCTCAGCCATCAGTTTCCTCCTATGCTTTAAAAACTGCGGCGCTGATTAGATAAAAGGTGGTAAGTCCATGCTTTCACTGAAATACAATGTAGCTGTCAACAGGAATGAGGAAACCTGATTAACTGGTGCGGAGAGACCTCCAAGATGTAGCAAATGAAAAAGCAAGGGGCTGAATCGTGTATAATAGGCTACCTTAGTTGTGAAAGAAGGGGACGAGGACACAGACATGGTATTTTCACAGAGGAGCCTGGAGACCACGCATGCTTACCTGTTGGCTGGGAGATGGAGGGGCTCGAGAGTAGAGGGAGCCTCTTCATGAAGATGTTTATATTGTTTTATTTTTTAACTATGCGATTGAATTACCAATTCCAAAAAAAAAAAAAAAAGTATAAGAAATCAAAACTCAACTTTCCTATACCACAAACGAGAGAGCTGGAAAAATGAGCTGTCATCTGTCTCCGCATTCCGCCAGTGCCAGGGGACCCCTGGACCCCCAGGCCCAGGAAGAAAATCCACAGCTTCCTTCCAAGGCCCACTCCAGTATGGCTGCGTCAGGAAGTCCCTTCTTAGGTCTGACTTCATTTCCTTCCGATGAAACCTCCGCACTGCCTCCCCGTTCCATGGAGTTGTCAGTGGGTATCCTCAACTCCCTCTGGGCCTTACTTGGTTCGCTGGATAAACCTAAGCCCTACACCCTCCTCCCAGAACTTGGAACGGCTTGGGATTACTCCATGGGGAACAAGCCCGTCGATCCTTGTAACCAGGCAGGGGAGGTGAGATACACAGGGAAGAAGACAGGCAGAGAGAAGAGGCTCGCTGCCTGACCTCTCACGCTCTCCTGTGCGCTGCCATCGCTCCCGGTGTCCACCTGCCCTGCCCCTTCTCACACACACGCAGAACATCTCTGAATCTCCCTCCTCCTCCCTTCCTTGTCCTTCATGGCCTCATCCTCTCCCTGTCCTCCCAGGTGAGTGCCCACGCCTGCCGTCACCATGACAACCATTCACCACAAGCAGATGCTGCAGGAGCACGTGTCCATGGAGTTCTCCAGCTCCACTACCCACGTGCAGACCTTCTCCCAGACAACCAAGACCATGGGAGGCAAGTAGAATGGGGGGAGGGGGATCAGGAAGGGGCAGCCTTTCTTCCTCCACCTCTACCCCCTGGGTAGCCTCAGTCTTTGTGACTCCTGGGCCTCTCAAGAGCCCAAGATACCAAGAGCAACCCTCTCCCAACCTGGGCTTCTAATCTGGGCTCTGATAAAGCTTCAGCCTGCTCTATGTTCACCCACAGATCCCCTCTCCAGGAAAACAGCTTAGGAAAAAATCTATCACAGGGCTGTGTGTGAGTGACTGATGAACTCTTTATTACTGGAGGAGATCAGAGCTCTAGGCAAACACCTGTATCTCCGATGGCAGACTCAGCATGGAGGTAGCTACCTTGTCTATATGTGAGTAATGCTGACCCTGCTTCACTTGAGAGAGAGAAGACTGAGCCACCATGGAGAGAGGATGAACAGATCAGCAAGCGACCTAAGCTTCCAGGCTCTCAGCCCTTGGGGACCAGACCTGGGCGAAGGAGGGGGCAGAGCCCAGGGAAAGCTGGGGAGTGGCCTCAGAGCAGAACAGATTGCTTGAGTCATGTCTCTAGAGTAAAGCGACTAGAAAATGGCCAGAGGCCAGGACATTGAATACCCATCCTCCCAGCCATTGCCCCTCCCTCAAAGTCCTGGAGAGGCTGTTCTCATAGTCCTCTGTGCACAGAGGTCAAAGCCAGATAAACATGCAATGCCAGTCCCTCCTGGTCAGTGATGTAGAGCAAAGAGAAGACCGAAACGTGAGACCAGAAGCCGCAAACTCAAGTGATTATAGCAGAGTCTCAGCGCCGGCTGCAGTTGGAGCCATCTTAGTGTGGGGCGCGAGGGAGAGGAGTGAAAAAGCAGCAATACCTGAGTCTCACTCAACTGTTAAACCAGGTGTTTGTTTGGTTTTAAAACTCCCCAGAGATTCTAGAATGCGACTGGAGTTGAAAACCACTGACCAGCAGGGTCCAAGCAGGGAACGTAAATGTGTGAAAAAGATTGAGGTAGCCCTGGCCGGTTTGGCTCAGCGGTTAGAGCGTCGGCCTGCGGTCCTGAGAGACCCGGGTTCGGTTCCCGCTAAGGGCGCGTACCTCGGTTGCAGTTTGTCCCCGGCCCTGGTCGGTCGTGCGGGTGGCAGCCACTCGATGTGTCCCTTTCACATCGATGTTTCTCTCTCTCTCTCCCTCCCACTCTACCTAAAACAAAAAATGGAAAAATGTCCTCGGGTGAGGATAAAAAAAAAAAAAGAAGAAAAGATTGAGGTAAACCAGAGAGGACATACCCCATCT